CTAGCGTGTTTTGCAGCACGGCCGGGCCCAGGCTCTCTGTGGGGCTGTGGCTGCGTGACGGCGGCAGAGGTGCAGTCCAGAGCCTTCGCTGACCGAGGTCGCACCTCAGCTGAGACCCCAAGGAGCCGGGTGTGCAAGGGGCTGGTTCGACCCAAAGGGAAGAAGTTCCCAACCAAAGGGTTTGTACTCTGCAATCTTACGGCTCTGACTCACCTAATTACCGTTCCTATCATAATCGCCATCTTCCACTGGGTGGTGGATCTTCCGAAGGTGCCCTTTAATGTTTCATCAGTACTTGTCTCTGCAATAGCGGATGAGTAACAGATCAAGTATACGGCACGCAAGGATTATTTTTTTTTTTTCCTACAGGAGAGATGTTTGCTGGATTGGGTCCTACCGGCTGCCCTTCCGTGGAGGGCAGAGATCACCCCAGCGCTGCAGCCCCTCCGAACCATCGGGGGGGTGAACGCGCCCCACCAGTGGCCATGAGGACTCGCTGCAGGGACACCCCCGTGGCCACGCATCTCGGGTGTGGGCGACGTCAAGACTTACACACCCGTCTTGCAGAAGAGTGCAGGAGAGGTGGGGGACTTACTTTCTCACTTCAAAACAGATATTTAAAAAAAAAAACTTCACTTAAAAAAAAAAGCCTAAGCATGTTTTGGCACGCAGGGAATGATCACATGCAAGTAGGCTACAGAGAATTTCACTGAGCTCTGAAACCACACGGCTTTATTTTATTTAGATGTGGCCATAAATATACATAGGAAGAAAAAAACGGAATGTTCAATACATCCTGTGCGCCGTTCCACCGGGCAAAGCTAAAAATATCTGAAGATGCTCCTGCTGGGCACCGGGGGCTCAGGCAGTTGTACAATCTGCTGTGGGAGCAAACCCGAGTCCTCTGGTTGAGTGTCCCACAGCTGGGAGAAGAACGGGGCACAGGTTTCTGACACAAGTATTTCTAATTACAAAGGTGCATTTAGAGAAAAATCACACTTTTCACTGGAAATAGTCAGAACTGACAACATTTTCAATCCCAAATATTTCCGGGTGAAACTGCTACCAGGCACCAACAGCTGAGTTAGCGGGAAAAATAAAGATTCCAAAGCACCTTGGGCCCTCATTGCAGAGAAAAAAAATTGGGAACTGTGAGGTGGGAATGACTTTTCGTTTAGAAATCTGGGTTAACCCATAATCAAAATAATAAACATGATTGAGCCCTAATAAGTTTCAACTAATCTGAGCGAAATTTTCTCAGGTTTTTCAGTTTTCAAACACCTCGCTTTTTATCGGGGTCAGAAAAACCCCTCATCATTTGAATTTGAGTGGAAACAGTGTCATGATAAGTGTGAGGGGCTGAACCTCAATGGAAGGAAGAGCAGTGCACATCCTCAGGGCGAGACCAGTGTTCTCCCTCCAGCACAGTCATACTCGAGGGACTGGGCTTCTTTACGATGGAGAAATATTGTTCTACGGGATTATCTGGTCTTAACAAAATCACTTAATGATTATATAATGGACGTTAGTTTATAATGTATAATTATGAGAATTAGTCATATTCCCCAGGTAGATCTTTCATGGTTTTGCCCTTTCAGCCTCACCCCTTGCTGCTGCCACACGCAGCCCCAAGGAGAAGGGCCCCGCTCCCTCCCAGCCTCCGCTTTGGGCCAGCGCCGCGGAGCTGTTAAGTGCTCTGGGTGCGTTCGTGCTCACTCCGGCTGAGCCTTTCGAGCTTAAATAGTCCCCGGTCCTGCTCTGGGCAGGACCTGGGAACAGTTTCATCACAGCAAAAGGGAAGAGGCCTCACCACAAACAACTATGGTGTCATCACCCTCGGGGCATCTTCCTCCTCCTCCTCCTCCACCCCCTCCTCTCTGGGCTCTGACCTGCAGCCTGTCGCTCAGCGCGCAGGGGCAGGTTTTCCCGAACGCCATGAAACGATCAGCTTTGAGGGTACACTGTGACTGCACACTCTCCATTAGTTATGCCCAGCGGAAAAAAAAAAAAATGTTTCAAAACAAGTCCCGTGTTTTAAATCTCACCTTGTAGTTCAATTCACACTTTTATTTTATATCAGATGATTTAGATCAGATGGTCTTTGATACTCATGTTCATACTCACAGCCAACACGGCTGAGACCGCCTGAACGCCCGCGAGCAGCCAGGGCCGAGGACACGCACCACAGGGTGTGTGAGGGACGCTCACGGGTGACAGATGTCACGCTGCCCCCGCTCCCCAGCTGCCTCTCAGCCCCGGCCTGGTGCAGGCATGGAAGTTTTCTCAGCTTTATTCACCCACCCATGACTGAGAACTGTCCTCAGCATGGCCCGAGGATATGCCAGGGCCTGCTCCCAGCACTGACAAGCCCACCGAGGCGGGCAAGTAGAGGAAAGGGAATTCAGATGCTCGGGGGGTTGTGAGCATCCCGGAGTGAAGCCAGGCAGCTCCGGCAGGGGCAGTGCCGGGGGAATCCCTCACGGCTCCCCGCGCTGCACTCGAGGGATGGCGAAGGGCAAACCGACGGAGGGTGGACGTGCCCTGATGTATTGGGGAGCAGCAGCACCAGCCTGAGACTTCATGACGTCTCCCCTGTCCCTTTTCACAGGTACTACTGGGGCTCCCTGCACTTCTTGCAGAGATTATTGAAATCTCTCTCACGTTAAGGTTTTTCCAGCCTTCCAGGTTCTCTTCTACAGCATTAGCTCTGGATTTTGCTGGATACATTATCTAGTTAGCTCAGTATGTTTGCAAATGCCGGGACAATCCTATGAGACCTGACTGCAGAAAAAAACCTGCCGCCTCGTAAAAACGCTTCCATCTTTTGCTTTCCATCAAGGCAAACTTCAAACCAAACCATTCCTTTTGGGAACCAATTGTTCTGTGACTTCCATCCCTGATCCTGACGGGTCATTCCCAGATACACTGAATCCATCAGGCTTCTTCAGTTTTACGGAGCTGATCTTCACTCTTGAGGTGTGCTGCCTGCACAAATTCTAGGGGGAAAACGGCATGAGATCTTTCTTTCATGACTTAAGCACGAAGCCATGAAGTATGCTGCACACAAGCCTCCTCACTGGTATTTAAACTATCCGAACGTGTTCTTTCTGTGAACAGAAGACACGAAGCTTAGTCCGCCTGAGAGGAATGACTCATACAAAAGATGTCATAAACATCTTTCCAGGAAAAAAAAAAGCAACCCCAAACCTTCCCCTTCTGCAGAATTACACAGAACAACACGGAAACGAATCCGTGTCCTTATAACATGGGTGTCAGCGACTGGAAGCCAACAGTTAACCAGAACGTAACCCAATGGTTTCATGAGCCAAAGTAACTGTTAGTATAGAAGAGAATTCCGTGCACTTCAAGAGAAATTTCTCACTGGAACAAGCTAAAATCACGACTTGGGCTCCACTGAGTTTCATAGTGAACCATCTCGATTTCTACAAGCCAGAGGCCGCCTTGCTTCCTCAGACATCTCAGAAATGAAGTCTAGCAGGAGAAGAAACTCTAGGTGTGTCCTACTGCGTGGGTGAGGGTGTGCTGGGAGGGGCATTTATAAAAAGATGTTTCCACAAACACTTGCTATAAGCCATAACAAACAAACCTCTAAATTAGCAACAGCCAAATCACAAAGGCTGAGCGAGAAAATAACAACCCACCAAATCAATACAGGAAATTGGCTATCACGCAACTAGTCCAGCCTACGAGGAATGACAGCTAAGAGCGTGCATTTTGCTAAAGATCACGTGCCTGGGAAGGAGCACAGACACGAGGGGAACGCAGGAAAGAAATTTCCAGTGTTTAAGGCACAGGTTGCTGTAAGAGCTCAGCTGAACTATCCACTGCTGGGCTTTTGAAAAAGAGACAACCTTAAAAGATGCAAGATAACAAATATCTCCTACTTTTGGTCATGCTGTGGCCATGAATGGAAAAAAAAATCTGACGGGAAAACGCTATTTTGATGTACAGTTCATTGACTTAATCCCCAAACCAGAACTTAAGCTTTCTCCTCGAAGTATGTGTGTATTTGCACTGCGGAAGGAAAACATCCTGACCAAAATTCTGAAATCCCTTCGGGACTGAGCACGCCAGCTCTCCTATTCACAAACACGTCGAGGGAGACTAGCGCAGAGCCAGGTACTGCCCCAGCTCTCTCCACCACCCTCCAACTGCATTTGGTCCGAGCCTGTGAAGAATTATTCCCTGCAACAACTTGTCACAGTTCCCGTCCTTACAGCCTTACACAGAGCTGTTTCCCAGTTGTCATGCAATTTTTCATAATTAAATTGTGATTTATAAAACATAATTGCAGATAGAATAAATTGCTGACGTGTATATTTGCCAATGCTCGTTACATTTTTATGAGAAATTAGAGATGTCAGAGTGGGCCAGTGTCCCTACAAAATACATCCTGTGCTGTGTTTCCGAAAGGCATAAAGCAAAAAAAAAAAAAGGACTAAAAATAATGAGTGTACAGTGTAAGACAACCATAAACTAGAACGTATTAAAATATCACTTAAGTGCAAAAAAATTCATCCGGCATTTCTTGACAAATACCTGAAAGGGGAAAGAGCACGAGGGAATGGCAATGCTGGGAGAGAGAGAGAGAGAGTAACATTCGTTCTGCCCCATTTCACGGCAGTTTATTGTTGTGCTGAAGGAGACGTAACAGGATGAGGTGAGTGGGATGAAGTTTAGTTCAGGTGACTCTAAGTCGGTGGACTAGATCATGGAAAAGATCAGCCTAATTCAGAGCCACCCAATAGAAATTACATGTTTTGTATCAATAAACAAACGGTCGCGAACACTCCAAGTATGGGTTAAGCTTCCTGATACTGTCAGACATCTCCCTTTGGCAAATTACCCTTGGCAGGAAAACTGTGGCTTGCAAATGCCCACGGAAAGCAGGTACTCCCTCCGACGGCGACACCCACTGTCTCAGCTATAAATGCCGACCAGGCAGGGTGGAATTTGGAGCTATGATTCCAGAACAGCTGTAGGACCAGCTTTGAGTTTAACCCGAGTCGGTCGCTGCTGCCACTATGAGCTGTGGCTCCAAGCAGAGCTCCAGGAGCTGCCTGCGAGGGGGCAGCGGGGGCAGCGCGGGCGGCGGGGGGGGCAGCACGTATTCCTCTGCCTCCTCCAGAAGGATCGCTGTGAGGTCAAGCGGTGGCGGCAGGACTTCTGGCAGCAGTTGTGGAGGAGGAAGCTCCAGGAGCAGCTACAGTGGGGGAGCAAGCGGTGGTAGCTGGGGGAAGATGAGGCGCAGTAGTTACGGAGGAGGAATGAGCGGCGGCGGGTTCGGAGGGGGAATGGGCTGCGGCAGCATGGGAACTGGCTTTGGGTCTGGCGGGAGCGGGTTTGCTGGTGCTTATGGGGGAAGTTTTGGTGGTGCTAGTTTCAGCGGTGGCAGCTTTGGCGGTGGTGGCTTTCTTGGAGGGAATGGGGGAATTCTCTCCAGCGACGAAAAGCTGACCATGCAGAGCCTTAACGAACGCCTGGCTGCTTACCTGGGCACGGTCAGAAATCTGGAAATGGAAAACGCTCAGCTCGAACAGTTAATCAGGGAGTGGTACCAGAAGCAAGGTCCTACTGGTACGAAGGACTACAGCCACTACTATGGAAAAATTGAAGACCTCCAAAATCAGGTAGGCTGTTCTTTGCCAGAGAAGTTTAAGCGTTGACTTTTTGTGATTGCGTAAAATGTTCAAGGCACCCGCGTGGATCCTTCTAACCTCACCATCTCTCTGAATGCGCCTCTTGTGCTTCAAATTCTGCCTCCGTGCATCCAACTCTCTTCAGCTGGCGGTGGAGAAATGATGCCCCCCCCCCGCAGCACACACCGCAGACGGCCGCCGGCTGCACGCGCAGACTCAGAGCGCCGGCAGTGGATTGGAGAGCAGGGGACAAGGGGTGCCCATCGCCCCTGGGACGTGCGGGGTCTGACCTTTGGGTGCAGCCCTGTGCCCGGGGTGTGGAAGGCGAGACAGAGCTATGGCGGGGCCACCACTGGGGGAAGAGTTTTTGCAGTTCTGATGTTGTTTCCACACGGGGACCTCTCTGTTCTGTGCTGGAAACGACCCTTCCAGGCCTCCGCATGTGGGAAACGCTGTTCCCCGCAGACACCTGGGCATTATGACAAGACAATCGCATTCATATTTCTGTCCCTTGTGCAAAGCTGAGAGATTCACAGGGCAAGTCTTCCTCAGCATATTGTCTTCTCTTCTAGCTTGTGACTGCAGCTGTGGAAACCAACAGGGTACTCTTGGACCTGGACAACACAAGGATGACTGCAGAAGACTTCAGGATTAAGTAAATATATATTCCTCTTTTCTGGGCACTGACTTCCTTTCTCCTACTTATCTCAACTTAGTCTCATGAATTCATTCCATAAACAAATATCAATCCTCAGAGACTAGGGTTCCTCCTGGTTTCATGGCAGCACAACTGAAGTAATCTGTAAACCTTCTAAATTCTTCATTACTTCTGCAATGATCTCCAACGCTCCCTGTGGCTGTGGAGTCAAAGCTTAAAAAAAAAAGCTTTACTTTTAAGAAAATAAAAGTTGTGATTTTCTCTCATGGAAAGTCAGATGAAACAGATAGATGAAGCCTGCACAGTCTACAGTGAGAGGTGGTGAAAAAGGCCACGTTTTAAAATTAAAGTTAAGATTAAACTTTATTACATTTCTTAATATTAAATTTTAATATTAAGCTTGAAGTACTGGCTGCTGATTTTCTAATTCTACCGGTTGAGAGATGCCACGTGCTACCAAGTGCAGCCACAAAAGCAGCCACTGAGATACTGGAATACACGAATGTTTTCATAGATGACGACAGCAGGAGAAGGACTGAGAGCCCAGACCAGGGCTGACCTTTCCGCACTGTCCCTGGCGCAGGTTCGAGACGGAGCTCGCTCTCCGGCAGAACGTGGAGGCTGACATCAACAGCCTGCGACCCTTGCTGGATAATCTGACGCTGAACAGGTCTGACCTGGAAATGCAATTTGAGTCCCTAAAGGAGGAGATGATCAACCTCAAGAAGACCCACGAGGAGGTAAGAGCCAGCTCCCTGAAATGCAAACTGCAGAGGAAAACAGGAACGTTACGGTACGGGAAACGCGGGCAGGTCCCGCAGGTAACACCCTCTCCTCAGGTGCAGCAGCTCGGCTGGAGCCGGGCCGAGTGCCGGGGCCAGACCCCACCAGTCTCTCCCAGCAAGCAGGGGCTGGGAAGTCAAGGCCAACAAGAAAAACCTAACATACATATATATATATATGTGGTGGAAAGGGTCCAGGATGGTTTTGGATGTCAGAGCGGATCGACTGACTTGTAAACTCCAAAACTCTTGCAAATCTTCGTTTATTTGCCTTGGGCTTGGGTTTTCTCTGCAGGAAATGAAATCGCTGCAAACACAGTCCAGCGGTGATGTGAATGTGGAGGTGAACGCTGCTCCAGGAGAGGATCTGATGAAAAAACTGAATGATATGAGACAAGAATATGAAAATATTATTCAGAAGAACCGTGAAGAGGTTGAAAGGTGGTATGAAAGCAAGGTAAGAAGTTACAAACGTGAATGTTCACATTACAAAAGAAAACCAATACCAACTTTCGGTAAGAACTGCCTGTGGGCAAATGACACTTTGAACGACAACATCCATTGCTTTTAGGATATAATGGTAGAATCCCTTTGATGAAAATAAAGGAAATTACAAGTGGGCTCGAACTGCACTGGCACGGCCAAATAAACAAGTTTAAACAGCCCCCGTATTGCAAGCGGCCCTGCTTCAGCTTCTTGTGTTGCCAGACGTTTCCGTGACAAACCACCACGCTGACACCGTACACTAAACTCAAACCCGCCAATCCTGTGTATTGATTTTTCAGATGGAGGAAGTGAGTCAACAAGTCCACTGGAGCGGCCAGGAAGTGGAATCAAGCAACCAGCAGATCTCAGTGCTGAGACGTGACTATCAGAGCCTGGAAATCGAGCTGCAGTCGCAAATCAGCATGGTAGGTACCAACAGCTCCTGAGCCTCCGGCACGTGGAGGGGCCGCGAGGTTCTGGGATGAGGGGAGAGCCAGCACTCCCCTTAACAAGGACGCTTGGCCCGTCTGCCACCATGTAACACTTTTCTCGTTTGGGGTGTAAGAATGATCACACATTCCCCCAACGTGCCATATTCCCCTGAACACTGCATTTTGTCTTTCATCCTCAGTTACAGTCTTTGCAATCCAACCTGGAAGACACGGAACGTCGCTACAACATGCAGCTGCAGCAGATCCAGGGCATGATCGGCCCCTTGGAGGAGGAGCTGGCCAGCATCCGCTGCGAGATGGAGAGTCAGAACCAGGAGTACAAGATGCTCCTGGGCATCAAGACCCGCCTGGAGCAGGAGATTGCGCAGTACCGGGCCCTGCTTGAGGAAGGGCAGCAGGATATTAGGTGTGTACATTCAGACGAATTAACATGCCGTCTCTGCAACCTCTGCAGACGGGCGAAGATAAAAGTAACAAAATTCATATTAGGAACAAGCGCGACTCATTCAGCCTCCGCGTATTTACTATAATCACAAGAATTCACACGAAATCTAAATCTCAGCTGGCAGTGTACAAAGGTGGATTATTTTGTACTTATAATGAACAGAACAAAACCATTTACAAACGTATTTAGAACTATAGTTTGCCATTTCTTCTCCGAAGTAAAAGCAGGCAGAACAGTTATATATGGAAATGAAAGGCAAGGAAGAAAATAACTGCCTTGTATAAATACTCAAGGTACATATTTTGAAAGACTTCTAAACCCATACGTTATCTTCCTTTTTCTTCCTCAGGCAGATCAGTCAATTTGTCCCTAAGTAAGGATACTTTAAAACCCATTCGCTAGAATGTGTTTCACACAGTAGTAAGTTTCTCAGTCATGCCAGAGCTCAGAGGGAGTCAGAACGTGGCCTCGATAAGCCGAGAGGACAGCGGACTCCGGCCATGATGTGTAAATCTGACATGCGCGCCCTTTCCTCCTTGCAGCATCTCACAGGGAGGAGCTGGCGGCGGATCCTCAGGAGGAGGAGGAGGAGGTCGTGGAGGAACCAGCTGGTGTTCTGGAAAAGGAAGTAGTGGAGGAGGAAGTGGTTGGTCCTCGGGTGGAGGAAGCAGCGGAGGAAAAACAGGAGGATCTGGCGGGAGAAGCTCTTATTCTGGAGGTGGAGGAGGAGGGAGCGGAGGAGGAACAGGAGGTGGAGCCTCTGGTAAAACCTCAGGTGGAGGAGGCGGCGGTGGCGAAGGAGGGGGCAAATCCTGCCTCTCCCGCTCTTCATCTTCCCAGTCCCATTCTGGCAAGTCTTGTGAAAGCCAAGGTAAAAACTGGAAGAAAAGAGTACATCCTCCCATTCACTTTTCTCTCTGAATAGCAGGAAGGGATATGGCAACTTCCTTCCTTGTTTGGAAATCTGGAGATATTTTTGCTATTTTTTCCTGATCCTGTTTTAAGTCCACCCTAACATTTGCTCTACAGTAACATATCAACGTGCCGGTATTTTCACAAGCGACTCACATGAAGAGGTAGTTATGGAAGGTTGTATTGGAGGATGCGTAGAAAGAGGAAATTAAGGGGGAAAAGGAAAAATAATGCTCAATCCAAAGCATGCAGGGAACCAGAGAAATCAGTAGTTTGGGAACGAAGACAGATGTTAGAAATGTAACTCGTAGTAAGGGGGGGAAATGGTTAAAGCGGGGTAAACCAGTTGGAACACTCAAGACATTGAAAACATAAGGGGTATTAGCTGCAAAATCCTCAAGTAGCAAAAGACGGGGAGTGCACGAAAGGTCTTCTCCATGTCTGATTTCCTGGCTGTGGTTCCAGGAGGTGCTGAAAACATGAGGCTCTGCCTGGAAGGGAACAAAACACTGGAGAGAGGAGCAACAATGGAGGAAGTGTCTGAAGCCATAAAAACGATGAGACAGGGTAAGGCTCCAGGTCCTGACAGCACCTCAGACAAATCCCTGAAAACATTGAAAATGAACAGGGAGCTATAATTTTTAGAAAAAAAAAAAAAAAAAAAAAAAAAGATGGGGAATGATCCTGCACTGAGGCTTCCATTTATTTCTTCTTGCCAAGGGAGGAACAGGGATATTAATCTTAGTTAAAGGTGTAGTCTGTCTCACAAACACACTTTTTCCGCCACAGACTGAAAGCACTGGCTGTAGACTGAAAGGTCTGAAGCCATCAACATAGAGAGAAAGAACGCTGCAGACTCTCTTGATGCTGCAGACAAAGGCAGTGAGCTCAGAAGGCTTTTGTGTAATGACTCAGATTAATTTTTTGGGGGTAAGATTTGATGTAGATGAGATCTAGTTTTTCAAAATTAATAGGCTCTTCAAGCTCCTCCACAGAAATGCGCTCCTTTGATCAAACCTCCTATCTGCCTAGCAACAGTTCTATGTATACTAATGCTTGGTAGGCAAGATGAAAATATATTATGTGCCGTCCACGTTTAACTTATAAAAATTTGTCGTGAATATCCATACACACATAAATACAGATTCTAAGTTCATCTGTATTTGATTTACAACGCTACAGTCACTCTGAATTTAAAGAGTGATTTACACTTGCATAGTTGAGAATAGAAGCGGGTCCATGTGTTTGATGTGATAAAGCTGCGAACACACGTGCTTGAACAAAATATTGTCTGTCGCTGTTCTAACTGTTCTAGAATGCTGGGGGGGGGAAAAAAAAAATCGAGTCCATTGAGAACTGCACAGTCTGCAATTACGAAGTAACAAAAAGATAAAAAATGACGAATGAGATAACGCTTCTTCAAAGAGATTCTTGCTTCCCTTCGTCTTTCAACAGGGAGTTTTCGGAAGTCCGAGGACTGACTGGCGGAAGCAGCCCCTCCCACTGCAGGACCTTACCGGGGGGCCCGTGACCCGGCCAGGGCACCCGGCGCGTGGCCCTTGGTGCCCCTGCGAAGAGCAAAAGCAAACGCTTGTTCGAGTTCCCCAACACTGTTCACTGCAGGGGCTCATCAGAACCCTCCGCATGGGCCTACTTGCTTCTTCCATCTGAATTTCTGTTCCTAATCACTGTTACCTGGGTTAATCTCTGCCATGATTGGTGCTCCTGTCAATAAAATAGGAAAAAAAAAAAAAAAGCACGCGAATAAACCTTTGCTTCTCTCTGATGCAATCGGAAAGCCATGTCTGGGAGAAATTTCCTTCAGCAGGCGTTTTCGTTTGAGTCAGTTACAAATGTCAAGCCCTACCTGCGGAACACACAGTAACTTGCCAGGTTTTGCATGATGAGACCCCGAAGTTTGCTGCGACACATTCACCATTTAAGGCTGACTGGGCAAAACTCTGGAGGATACACTGCCAGGTGCAATGTTCTGGTGACCCCTGCAATCCCTACTGGTTTCTGCTATTAACTCCGGTCAGGGAAAGACAGGGTGGGCTTAAGGGACGGGCTGTTGCCTAGAAAGATTCTTTGGTGACTTCCTAAGGCCTCATGGAAATGCAGTGTGAAACTTTTCGATCGTGGAATTTAAAGACGGAAATTTTCGACTCCCAGCACCCAAACACCCCAGAGTGCAAACAACCCGCAATTAATTACCCCAAATGAGCACATTCCGAGTGCTGCCTACGGGATGACAAAGGGGTAAAGTTCAGTGAACGGGATACCCCTCCTTCGCGACGGGGGTCGGCTGCGCTGTAAAGTACGTTCCTACGGCCGGAGTATGAACCCCGGAGCACACGTACGCTCCTACAGAGGGAGGAAGTCACAGCTGGTTTTACTGATCGTAACCCTGCCTTGCTGTCTGGAAGCCATACAATTCTATTTATTTCCACTTCGGGGCACTTCTCACATCTAAGTACAAACAGGAACACACTTTACAAAGCAGACTGGCAAATTCTGAATATTTAGCATACGATTTTACAAATTCCCGTGGTAGGTTGAGAGGGAAAAAAAAAAAATATCCAAGAGAAGATTCCAAAACCACCTTTAAGGGTTGCTACAGATCGCACAGGAGAGGGGCTGTTCGCGGCGCTAAGGTGCAAATGCCCTAAAAGACAGAGACGGAACTTTTTGCTTTCACTGTAGCCCCGTTTCCCTCCTTCAGGCCCCGGGTGGCACAAACCGGCTGGAGGGTTCCCCCCGCCGCTCCCCCACACCCTGTCCCTTGAGCACTTCCCACCTCTGGTGGGGGCTCATCAAAGGGTGGGCTCTGCGTCAGCACGGCCGCCCTGGGCTCAACCGCTGAAACCAACTGTTGGGGGATGTCACCTGAACACGACTCGGAGAGCTCCCGACACGAGCCCTGCTCCCCGATCCATCCCTCACCGCTTGCGCTTCTTGGCTCATCTGCTTCGACACAAACAAAGGGAACCCGATAGCAGTATCACTGTGTAAGTTTTTCTCTCTGTTTTGCAGTTACGGGTTGTGGTTTTGTTTTTTTTTTTCCCTCCGAGGAAGGCATCACCCACGGGAGAAGGTTGAGAAACACAGACTGAGCCGTGGGAACGGCAATCCTGCACACCTGAGCTCTGGGCAGAGCTGTGCCAGTGATTCACGGCATCGCCTTATGCCAGGCTCTTGGCCAATGTGATTAGTATTTGAAAAGAAAAAAAAATAATCTAAGAAGAAATTTTATTTTCTGACCAGTGTCTCTATGGGGGCCTGAGGAACTGGCCGGTCTTGCCAAGGGACCCTCCATACAGAAGCACACACTGACACCCCTGACCTGGCTGCGGAGCGGCAGCGTGGATCCCGTTTCCAGGATCCCCCCATCTCCCTCCTACTGCAAAATCTCCTACTTAATTTTAAATCCCTTGCAGCATAAAATCATACTTGTCTGTGTATCGCTAGCTGCCCCCCAAACCTCCTTCCTCCGATTGCTCTGGCAGCCTTAACACCTCTTGCAGGCTGTGACAATTCTTTTTCAGACCTATTAGCAGCCTGAATTAACGAACGCTCCCGCTCCAGGAGCCCAGCTCCTCTCACCTCCCCCAGTAGCCTGCCAAGTTAATCTCAAAACTGTTTCTGTTGAGTGCACGCTGCCTGGCTTTTACAGCGTGGTTTACAGGCCTTCACCTCACCTCTGGCCTTACCGCAGCACCCGCGAGGCTATTAGGGAGGTCATATACAATTTAGGTGGAGGAGGGATCTGTCTGTGCTGGAGCTTGCTGCCCAGCACCGTTGCGGCAGCTCTGGGAACTCCTGACACCTTCTGCTCCTGCCCCTTTCCAAAAATGTTACTTACTTGTAGTACTTTTACTGCCAGTTACCCAATTATCTGGCTTCTGTGTGTCTAACCTTCCTGAAACAAGTCCTTGTGAGAGCAAAGCAGAAGGAAACTTGAGGAGTCCAAAGTGTGGGAAGGAGAATCAGCCCTGGGAGGGGCAGCAGCGCCGCGCAAACACGCGGAGGTGGGGACGCGGTGATGGCTGCCCCCTTCAGCACTCACACGGAGACGTTATCAGCACGCACAGAAATGAGGAAAAATCTCCGAGCAATTAGGATAAATAAGATGCTGTTACTATTCCTACTTTTACTGCTCTGCACTGATCATTCCGCGCTCTTCCTTACCTAAACCCCAGATCTGCGCGAGTCTGCAGCCGTGACGCAAATACGCTCCGCGATGAAGTTTATTTGCTACAGGTTACAGTGTGGGGCAAAATAAATACAAACCACCCATAAACTTTAAAAAATACCTACGTAATGGTGGCATTAGCGCTCATTTCAGACAAGAAGACGACTACCCCGAAAAGAAAGTGTCAGCCGAAGTATCCTTTCCTTTTTCCCTTTTGTATGTGCAAAATCTGCATCTAGGGCATCGCCAGCATTTGCTTACTGAGAGAACAGGGTTGAATTAATAACAGCGACGCAAAAAAACTTTATGTGGAGGAACGGAGGTAGAAAACCAAACCTATTGCCGAGCAGGAGTAAGAAATACGGATATTGTCGTGTCAGGTGTCCAAGCTTGGGGCACGCTTGAAGTGGGACTCCGGCGATATTAAGGGTAGTGAGGAGAGGCTCACACGTTTCATTTGCATGCATTTTGTTAGGCGTTAATCAGCATAATAAGCTTTAATTTTATGAGTACACAATGTTGCAATTTGGATACTTATCTGGTGTTCCTATTAGTGCTCTGAGAAGAGAACCGTGGTACGTGTTAGAACAAGACCTTCAGGACAACCTTAGGCAAAAAGAAATGTGCGCACACACTCCTGTGTTTGTACTCCCAGGGCAATCCATCCGTCCATGCGAAGGCACGGATGTCATTTCAAAAATTGCCTATGCATATATTTTGCTGATGTCTCTTTTGTTCAGCATTAATTGTCAGCCCCATTAATTGTCAGATGCTACGCAGGCGACATTCATGGGCTTCAGAACGAGCACAGCCAGGCGTGCCCTGCTGCGGGACGGGGGGAAAGTGGGAAATCTGCCGAGAGCCCGCCCTCCTCCACAGGCACGGCCTTGTGCGCTTTCTTCACTCCTATGAGGAGCTTGCTTAGGCAGTCATTTGGGGTTTTGTGATAATAATTCTCGATGTGGACAATCAAGCAGGGGCCAGATCCCCCGAGGCAGTGGGCATAAACGGGACTTAGTTACCCTCAGACTGGCTGAAGTCCACAGCTCCAATTCCAAGCTCAGTGAGTATTTAACCACCTTGAGTCACCACATTTGCTACATCTTCCTTTTCGACCTTGTGCAGACGAGGCTGAGGCTAAGGGGAGCAAGTACCAGCTCCTTCCCACTTGCCCCTGGCAGGCAGGTTGCCCTGGAGCGTGTGTAGACCCTCGGCAGAGCTCAGCCCAGCAGCCTCCTGCAGGCCAGCACGACCTTCCTCCCCGTGAAGCGCTCCAAGAGCGGATGCCTCTCCTTCATCCGTCCGCTGGAGCAACGGAAAGTACAATACGGGGACTGATGCCTTCGCAGGCTGGGATTCATTTGCTTTTATCGTGCCCTCCAGCTGCTGCTGCGGGCAATGTGAAAAACACTGTTCCAGTTTGGTACCGACAACAAAAATTATTCCACTAAAATTGACATCACCCTGTAGGAGACGGGTAATCACAGAGGGACAACTCTGATTCTGTCTCAAAAAGACAGAAATGAGCAGTGGCAGCTGGCAGGCAGCAATTAGCAGCCTGTAAACTGCACGAAAGCCTTGACCCCTGCCTGTCACAGCCAAATGACAAAAGTGGTGTGGACATTTTCCGGATCTGAGCAACAGGCATCCCTCCTGTCAACCTACTGCACGGAAGAGCCAAGTTATCCTGCACAAAAGTGTGTGCTAGGAGCGTGCCAGAGGTTTGAAACTTCTAGTCCTCTTTTTCTTTGGTGGGTCTAGTCTAAAAATTCTTTGGAAATACTGTGATTTCACTAGGACCTTATGAGATGAAGTAGGAATGAAGAGTGAGCACAGACTCCCAGGTGAAAACAGATCCTCTCACAAAAATCTCTGTTAAGAGTGATGGGAAGAGATTATTAAAGAGCTCAAGAGACTCGGCTCCAGCGCTTGCCTCGGGCACGGTATCAGAATGACACTGAACTAAAGGGGAATGGGTTTGGTTTTCAGTGCACACACAAGTGAGAACATTTTCTCCAGGTCTGCTCTGACTGCAGCAGCTCCAGCCTGTTGTATCAGGCTCCTGGTTCTGTTAAAATACACAGCAGCGTGGGCTGCTCCCGGAGTTTGTCTTCATTCTGATGCTAGGCAGTCACTTCTTTGATATATATCACGGAGGCCTGATTAAAAGGAAAACAATAACAGAGAGAGAGTGAAAGAATGTCAGCGGTCCTTGAAATGTGGCATGTGCTGAGCTTAGCAAGGAGCAGGAGTCAGTGCCAAAACCTCCAGATCCTCTGGGCTGAGTAACGCTGGTCGCTGCGCTCCTCGGGTCTGGTTCGGAACCAGCAATGGTACGCGGCGTGCTGGATGCTGGACCAACACAAAACCAGTAACGATTAACCTGTGCATCATAGATAGGAAAGAGATGAGGAAAAAGCCCTAAAATTGCCAGTTCCTTTAGGCAGTGCCGTAAGTTATAAACACACTGGTGGAAAGCATCAGAGAACGAAAATTTCTGAAGGCTCTTTAAATGAGCTCAGAGAGGAAAAATTCATCCTGTCCACAGGATGGATCTTCTCTGGTTCGTAAATATTTGCGCAGTTAAATATTTAATAATCAATAAATTAAATATTTAATAATAAATTAAAATATGCCAGGAGGAAATTCAATGGTGCGCCTCTACGAGAGGATGAAATACTCACAGTTCACCTGTATTTTTCAGGTCCGTTAGTATTACAGTCCAGACAAACTACATTTTTGAGAACTTAGTGACTGTGAAACAAACTATCGCAAGGAAAATTTTCAGCTGTTAAGAATGCGGCATACCCTAACAGCCAGCAGGATTTCTATAAAAAGCACTAAGATGGAGCTAGCAACAAAAACGAAATAATAGCAACACTAAAGATAAAAAGGAACATTTTACGAGGATGTGACTTAAAATCTACCGAAGATCTAAGGGCAAAAAATCTTTTGCGTCCTTCCTTTATATATAGACACTGGTAATAATACAGAACTAAACTGAAATGCTGGGGTAATCTAAAGTTCTCCACCCTCAATGGCTTGACTCTTCTTTCATTGCTTTTTTTAAAAAAAAATAAATATTTTTTTTCCAGGCGTACAATAAGATATGCCCTTGTCAGAAGAACCTTCCAGTATGGAAAAGTTGCTGCTGTGAACAAGTGCATATAGAACAAGTGCGTATAGAAAAAGACAGCCAATAAATGAAATAGGAAACAACGCCGGTTCTCAGATTAAGACTCTTTCGGCAAACGTTTTTACTCTTGTTTTAATAATTCCAGAGAATTTTTTGCTCGCTCCCGCTAACGAACCCATAGATTGTTCCAGCTTGTCTGTGAAAAGCATCTACAGGGAATATCACTGGAATCACCGATGGAAATGTGAACATGATAATCCATTTTACTTACCGAAGTGGAATTTGTGAAAAAGGGCCCCCACTGACCAAAACGGCATTACCCAGACACAAAGGCAAAACAACGCTAAAAAGAAAAACCATTTTGGATACAGCAAGCTGCATCTGTCAGCACCAGTAACAGAACACGCAGAAGCCCAGAAACGGTGTTTATGCTGCTGAGGTGACACTACCATCCTCCAGCTGTGAATCAAAGAGAAATTATCACATCATCAAGCTACTTTAAATCTTTCATCACCTTTAAGCCATTGAGTATATCAAATAGCAAGATAAAATCAGGGAGCTTTTGAAAGAGATTGCATAAGCAGCAATAAAGCAATGTTGGCAAAAGCAAACTGCAAAAGGACAGGCCAATGGATTCAGTCAGAAAATGTTAAATAATCCTTAATTTAACATTAAAAAAAAAAAAAAAAGGTCCAGAAGTTAAGGGGCAGAAATACAGTTTGTAAGAGAATCACGCACACGGACACCGATAGCAGAGGGTAAAACCCAGCAGCGACGCACAATCCGGTCCCAAACCGAGGTGGCCCTTGGGAAGCGAGGGCTGCGCTGCCCCGCCGCCTGCAAACGTCCGCGGGAGATGCTGAGGGGCGGCATCAAGGACAGCAACTGGGGAGCAGCCTCGCGGCCCCTGCACCCCAGGTTTGGGGCAAGACCGTGACGTGTCATAAATACGGTCATTAGAGGATGGGTAACCAGGAGGAAGAAAGGTGATGAAGGCATTTCAGTAGCACGGGACAAAACTGTCACGGGAAAAACCAGCGCTTTCTTCCAAGCAACCTGTAAGAGCCCGGGCTCCAGCTCAGCAGGGCCACAAACGCTGATGGTTGTGCTGCTGTTCGCAGCCAAGCCGTAGGGACTGGCTGGGTCTCTACTGTACTAAAAAATCAGAGGTGAATTTCTCATAAAAAGCTTTCAGAGTAAGAACAGAGCTGGGTGGATGCCGAGGAAATGAGATTCTGCACTGGAACCAGAATATTCAGCTTTCACCCGGGGCACAGATGAAACACGGGAACAGGAGCGTGTTGTGCAGGTGACAGTCTGGACCCAGCATCAGTTCGCCCTGACCCCGACCCTTCTCACAGATTTTTCAGAAACGTTCAATTCTGTCTATAGATACTCTGCTTTAGCATCAAAACCAACGACTGGGGCGGGGGGAAACCATTTACAAGTCCATCCTGGGTAAACTCCTGGGGATCAGGGCAAGACTGAAATATCGTGGAGTTTCTTCCGTGCGCTCAGGCTGGTTTCGGCGGATTGGTGTAAAAGTCTTTTCAGCTTTCCCTCTCAGGATATAATTTAGCATCTCAAGGATCTCTGCATTAAGAGCAGTATATATAATGACTCTATCACCTGTAATGTATGACACGGTACCAGCAGAGAGAATGAGCAGTTTTATATTAAACCATGAACGGTCTTCCCACACAGCAGTTTATAGGTCTTTGTCTGCATTAATACAGCTTATAATTGTGCTACAATTGACTTCATAACACAATTAAAGTATTCTTAATCTTCCTCTTTTAGATCGACTTAGATCAATTTAGATATAATTTTTTTCTCTTTGATTTCTAGGACTTAGCTCTCCAGTGTGCTGTTCCTCACCAAGGAAGGGTTTTCATTTTCAGATAAGAAATTTGAAGCAGGCTTCTCATGTAAATAAACACGTTCTCTACGTGATGACAGGGATCCACAGGTTGGACAGTCCAAACAGACGAGTTACACGGTGCTGTTAATAAAACTCTTGCCCTATCAGGTATAGTGAGAAGAATAATATAAGCAGTGTAGATGATCTTAAATGCACAAAATATGAAGGAGCAAAAGAGAACAACAGTCTTTGAGAGAACAAAAGAGAACAAAAACCTTAGCAAAGGAAGGAGATTAATAACTGAACAAATAAATGCACAGTCTAACAAGAGAGATTTGGGCCTAATCTTCTTTCTTTTAGGGAAGAACCGAGAACAAAAATTCTCTCTGTAGAGCTCCCTCGGGTGCACGTTCTCTCAGCGTGAGCTTCGTCGGGATCCTGGAGAAAGTGGTTTTTCCATCGTAAAGCAGATCCAGGCTGCACGAGGCAAAAGGTTACCTGCTCCAGAACAAGCTAAACGAAAAGAATGCCACCCAAAAGACACGAAATGTTCGGTCTTAAACAAACACCACAAACCCGGCAATGGGCTAGATTGCCTGAGATATCAGCACAAAAATATTGTTCAGCAAATTATTCTTGGCACAAACAACAAGGTTGGTAAATGCCCCCGGAGAAGGAAACACCCTGATGGTGACACCCACTGTCGAAAGTATAAATAGAGAGAGCTGGGGACGAAAATTTGCAGTCCTGAATCTTACCAGGCTGCACACCTAAACCTGGGATCGTGGTTAGACGCTGCCCTGCTGTCACCATGAGCTGTGGCACTAAGTCTTCCTCCAGTACCACCAGAATTAGCAGTGGAGGTGGTGGCAGCGGCGGCGGTGGCGGAGGGGGTGGAGGGGGTGGCAGCTGTGGAGTGCGTAAGTCTGGTGGATACTCCTCGATGTCCTCTAGAAGATACACCTCTTCCGGAGGAAGCGGAGGCTTTTCCGGGAGAAGCTTTGGTGGAGGAGCTTCCAGGAGCAGCTACGGAGGGGGCTTTAGCAGCGGCAGCTGCGGAAGGATTAGCCGCAGTAGCTACGGTGGGAGAATGAGCGGTGGCAGCTACGCAGGAGGAATGAGCTGTGGGAGCATGGGAGGAGGCTACGGCTCAGGTGGGGGTGGCTTTGGGGGAATGGGGGGTGGGTATGGAGCTGGCCTCGGGGGAGGCAGTTTTGGCGGCGGTGGATACAGCGGAGGTGGATTTAGCGGCTTCGGGGGGAGCGGTGGCTTTGGTGGCGGTGGCGGTGGCTACGGTGGAGGTGGCTACGGTGGAGGTGGTTTTGGTGGAATGGGGTTTGGAGAAGACTCCGGGCTGCTCTCCACAAATGAGAAGCTGACCATGCAGAACCTCAACGACCGCCTGGCCTCCTACCTGGATAAAGTGCGACGCTTGGAGGACGAAAATACTCAGCTTGAGCACCTGATCAGGGAGTGGTATAAAAATCAAGGTCCCACTTCTACCCGGGACTACAGCCAGTATTACAGAACGATTGAGGAACTGCAGAACCAGGTATGGTGTATTTTGGCTAACTTTGGGCAGACCCTCATTAGAACGGCGCTTGCCTCCCGCTCCTTGGGGCAACATCTTCCCCGCTCTGTCCTAGCCAGGGAGCAGCCTGCTGTGGTGCCTTTTCTCTGCCGCGGGCAGTGTGGTTTGGTGCAGGGGCCCACCACCACGGGTGCACCATTGCGGCCCTGCCCTTCAGCGCCGTGCTCTTGCCTCTTTGTCCCTCGCGCTCTCCAAGGGGGGATAAAATCACTGCCTGCTTATGTTGGGCTACCAGGGGCCACATCAACTGTATCTTCCTGTGAATATAGAGGACGAGACGATGTGCGTTTAGTCTGACTCCAGCCCTCAGCCAGTCAATAGTCCCGCATCTCCTACATGAATACAGTTGGTGCCAAACGCAACAGTAGTGACGTCTACCCACTATTTTTTGCATGTGAGCTGATTTAGTTATTCTTTCCAACAATGTATTTTTTTAATGGATCAAAACTGACAGCAAAGGCACTTAAAAGATCTTTTAACTGGAAGAAATAAATTCTTCTCTCTCGGTATGGTCCTGCAGCACTAGTCAGGCTCGACGTTACCATAAGGAGCCTCTGAAATGCGTTTCTGCACAGGTATTTCTTCCCTCTGTCTGTTTGTCAGGCTGAAGAGATGATCACTGAATAACATCTGCCCTCTCCCTCTCAGATTGTTGGTGCAAACGTGGACCTTAACAAGATCCTTCTCGACATTGACAACACCAGAATGACTGTGGATGACTTCAGACTGAAGTGAGTCTTTCCCTTCCTGCCTCATTTCACACACACACACACACAATCCCTGTAGGTGCTGTAGCCTCTTGGCTCTAATGACAGAAGACAGAATTGTTGGGAAAAGCATTCTGAGAATTAATTTTTTTTTAGTTTTTCATTATTTTCCTCCAGACAAGTTGCTGAAGCGTGCCGTTTGAAGGACTACATTTGAAGTTTCTCCATCCCTGCATGTAGATTTATCAGCATAATCTTCATCATATAAATCTCAGAGAGAGAAATTGTACTGAAATCAAACAAACCTACCGGAGATGGAAAGAGAATTAAATTAGGTCCTTTCTTTTAAGAACTGAGCAGTGGGATCAAAGATGAAAGACGTACTGGTGGGAACTGTTCACAACCAAGGTAACAACGAGGTTTGGCAGCACTTTTACCATTTTTCTTGTCTGTTGTTTAGGTATGAAACTGAATATACTCTGCACCAGAGCGTGGCAAGTGATATTAATGGATTACGTCCACTCTTGGATCAACTGACTCTGGCCAGATCTGACTTGGAGACACAGTTTGAATCCCTAAAAGAGGAACTGATCTATCTCAGGAAGAACCACGAAGAGGTAAGTTTCTCCACACTTTAAGATAATAACTAATGAGAGCTCAACGCTCAGAGAATTTCCTGCGGATTTCTTCCACTAGCAGCCACCAGCTTGGGGTCGCTGGCTTTGATCATCCAACTCGACATGATCTGGCTTTGGTTTTCAGGAGTAGGCAGCACCCATAGCTGCCCACAACCGATATAATAAGACACCCAGGTCAACGTGTGGCAAAATGAGACCAGGGAGACGAATGGCTCTCAGTACAAAGTGCAATTTTGTGGCTGGAGTCATGGAAAGAAAATTGGCTAGAATGTATGGAGGAGTCAAGAGAAAAGATTTATACTATCTGCAATGATATTTCCCACTGGGAACAAAAACACATTCAAGGATGTTCACAAAGAGCACGCTGCATAGAATTCCGTATGACCCTGAGGAGAAAATGCCAGGGTCAAGGTGTACGCGGTGCTGCTGCTCGCTGTAAAGTCTGCCCAAGGACGGGCAGAACTGCTCCCTCTGATGACAAGGGCAGGTGAGGTTCCCTTTGCAGGAGCGATAGAGCTGTCTGAGGATTCGTGTCCCTTTGTTTTCCTTTATTTGAAACTATGACATTTCTCCTCACCTTCACCCTTTAAGAACCTGGTGGGGTTTGTTGTTTTTTTTTTTTTTTTTCTGCAAACACAATCCAGTGGTGATGTCAATGTGGAGGTCAATGCTACTCCTGGCATTAATTTGATGGAAAAATTAAATGAGATGCGTTGTGAATACGAACGGCTTATTGAGAACAACCGGAGAGAGGTGGAAAGCTGGTATGAAACCAAGGTAAAGCATGGGGGGGGTTCAGTTACTAAATCTTTCAGAAACAACCGGACCTGTTTACATCAGGGACTTACCAGTTTACAGCAGAGGAAAGGCAATTTACCACGTATTATTTAAGGGACATTAACTTTAAGTGACTTTAAGCAGTTCACCGTAACAGGTCAGTGCTGGAGGATTAAGGTTACGTGGTGAAGCACAAAGGATCTCTGTGTTCCTGTAGCGAGGGGGATTACACAGAGTGAGTTAGCAGTGGCATGTGGGACATCTACACAATCTACATTACATCCTTCTTCATTCCTATTCATTGCTTTCACAATAACCCCACAATGTTTCCTTATTATCAAAAATGTCTCCATTTTGTATGTGAATTTTTCAGATGGAAGAAGTTAATCAACAAGTCCACTCAAGTGGCCAGGAGATACAATCAAGCAACCAACAGATCTCTGAGCTGAGACGTGAATACCAAAGCCTGGAAATCGAGCTGCAGTCGCAAATCAGCATGGTAGGGAAAGGCAACTGCTCCTGCTTCACCTCGGACAGGCTCTATGTGTCCCTGGAATCAATACGGGGTTCCGCCTCAAAAGCGCTCCATCTCTAGAGAATGGGATACTGCACTGCTTATCTTCAAAGATAAACTTTTTTCCGGCTTGTGAAGATCTCAAGTTTCTGCACAAAAAATGAGTTACGCTCGCCACATTCCCCTAAGCAGTATATTTTGTTTTCCATTTGCAGGTAGACTCTTTGCAATCCAACCTGGAAGACACGGAACGTCGCTACAACATGCAGCTGCAGCAGATCCAGAGCATGATCGGCCCCTTGGAGGAGGAGCTGGCCAGCATCCGCTGTGAGATGGAGAGTCAGAACCAGGAGTACAAGATGCTCCTGGGCATCAAGACCCGCCTGGAGCAGGAGATTGCGCAGTACCGGGCCCTGCTTGAGGAAGGGCAGCAAGACCTTGTGTACGTAACCTGACAAAGGAACACAGCCCCGTGTAAAGCCCGGCTTGCCAGCTTAGTCGCAAAGACAGGGAATCAACAGTCTAGATTTGCACAAGAGATTTTGCACAGAAATGAGGCTAATTCGGCTCCCTTGAGCAGGCGCCTCCTCGGTTTGAGGCACTACACATTTCTTGGCAAACCCGTTGAGAATATGAATCATGTGAAGAAAAATTAATGCAGGAATTCTGAGCTACCGATTTGGGGCTGGAGAGGGAAACCCCTGTACAGAGACTTCCCTCTGCCCTGGCTCCAGAAAAGGTCAGGAGCTGAACAGACAGAGGTCACCTTGGAAAAGCCTGCAAGCAGAAAATAGTTTCCAACCCTTCATAAAGTCTCAGCGTGCAGTTCTCTGACGGCTCAAGCTACTTGGGTTTCTGTTACGCGGTGAGCCTGCTTCTGCTTGTAAGTGGTGCTGGGAAGAAGAGATAAAGCTTCATTTTCTGCCTTTCCAATTCGGGGCGCAGCGACGCCACACGCCGACAAAGCAGCAGTGCTAAATCTTGCAAGAAATATCTGAGCAGAATGTGGGTAAAGCAAAACCTTTTTGCGCATTCAGGCTGAAATTGAGAGAGGTTGATTTTTGGCACACACCGGTTGTCTTGCTGATCTGTGCTAGGTTCTAAAAAGACAGACATGAGAAGCGCAAGCTTCCCTGCAGTATCTGTAGATAATTTCCTTCTGACATCAAAAATGCATGCGATTAACTTTTTTTCTCCTTTCTTTCTCTTTACAGAATCCCAGCAGGAGGCATGGGAGGAGGCATGGGAGGAGGCATGGGAGGAGGCATGGGAGGTGGTAGAATAGGAGGTGGTGGCTATTCTTCTGGGGGAGGAAGAGGAGGAGGAGGAGGAGGTAGCAGCATGAGTGGTGGCTATGGAGGTGGAGGCATTTCCTCTGGCAGCGGAATGGGAGGAGGAATAGGAGGAGGCAGTGGTGGAGGAGGAATGGGAGGAGGAATGGGAGGAGGGAGCGGAGGAATTGGAGGGGGAAGCAGCGGTAGTATTGTCGGAGGAGGAGGAGGAGGAGGAGGAGGAGGAGGAAGGATCTCAGGAGGCGTCAGCAGTTCCCACTCCTACTCTTCATCTTCCCAGTCTCAGTCCTGCAGGAGCGGGGGTGAAAGCCAAGGTGAGAACTGTTGTACGGGCACACTGTTCTCTCAGCCCATCCTTACTCCTTTATACTCTGCCTCAACACACTCCCAGAGGAGAAACTGAAATCTCTGGGAACTGTTAGATTTATCAATAATTCTTCCCAACTCGTGTGCAGAGGATCAGCTCTGCTTAAGACACCCACACTCAGTGTTTATGGAATTTGCGGGTCCTCACAGCTGCTCACGCGGTTGAAACCCAGCTGTTCTTCTTCATCCCTCTCATTCTCTGCAGACCCTCACAAATATCGCTGCCGTTGTGCCACGCCGGCGGAATGCTCATGGTCACCTATCGCATAATCAAGCTGCTTTCCCGCCTGGTCGCTAGTGGTGCCTCGGAGATTCAGCACCGGCGCTGAAGGAACTAACGCCGGCTTTATTTCTAAACAGGGTACGGCAGGAAATCTTTTGACTGAGGAAAACGCATCGAGGATCCTACAGTGCAAGACGCTTCAAACAGGAATTGGTCCCAATCCTCACATTCCCCATGCTCCTGAGGGAAGGCGGATGCTCTCCACGTCCGTGCAGAAAGGCCCCTCAGAGCTGCTCGGGCGGGCCGCCTGCCACACGCACGCTACGCACCGCTGCCCGCACGCTTTGTGGCTTCGATCGCTGGGCGCTTCAGCTCCTTGCTTTACAGATTCGACCTGTGGGTGACTTGGGATGTTCTGTATCAAAACGTGGCTAATAAAACTTCATTTCTGCCTGATGCAACCAGAACCCTGTGTGGAGGTTTTTCTTTCACTCTGTAGGTGTAAACACCCAAAACACAAAGCCGTGCCCACACACGCCCCCGGGTAGAAAAGCTGATGATACGCTACAGCAGTCGATAACGAACTCTAGAGCTAAAGCACAATTTCAGGGCAGATCATAACCAGCCCAGAACACGCTGCAGAATCTCAGCACTACGGGAATGCCAATGAAGTTGGCATTAAATAAGCACCCACCCAGGCCGGGCACAAAGAACCGCAAATGGTTACAGAACCACGACTGTAAAATTAAAGGAATGTTTCAATCCGTGATTGGCAGAAACTTGACTGACACTCATTGGTTTGACCTGGAAACGCACAAACTGGGGATCTCGGACAAATCGAGTCCATGGGAAAGTACCTGGGATGTTTATTTTTGGATCTAGGAAGTTCTGTACTGCAAGGAAAATGAACATAAACCTCTCAGCCACATCCAACTGTTACTTAAAAACCTTCCTGACTGGAGTTCGCAAAAAATTGGGTTGCTTGGCTGCTGTGACAGCTTGGAGCAACAAGCAAATAATCAGAAAGCCCTCCGGCTATTAGCTGTCTTTTGGCACTTGCATTTGCTTCTGTCCTGCTTTTTTAGATGGTTTTTTTTTTACAGTCATTATGTCAGTGAAATTACAGTATAGCTTTCTCCAGCAAGTGGTACAACTCTGTTTATGAACACAAACAGTAACGTGTTTCAGCGCAGCCCACCCCCGCGGATTAGACCCATTTCCAGAGACTTACTGACAAAAAGAACTTGGCCCAGCGCGCCCGTCTCTGCAGGTCCCCGCAGGCAGAGCTGTCTGCAGGAGGCTCCGTCGGAGCCCCGGCAGGACAGGATGTCCCTGCCGTAGCCAAGTCTCACCAAAACGCGCCCAGGCCGGCGAAGCCTCGTGTGGCAAACGAGGGGCCAGAGTCAGCTGGAGGCCGCACGGCGAAGGGGGGATTTCACCTGCAGGGAACTCCGGGCTGAGCTGCTGAGGCGGGGCTGTGTGCTCAGGGCTGGCTCTAGTGGGGAAAAAAGGTCCAAAAAATTGGTGGGGGGTGGAAGAGGGGCTGGCACAATGGGGTGAGGGTGAAACAGCACAACGCGCACGGGTGTGGATCGAGAGCACAGACGCAAAATTCATTTCCAGACATACAGGTCACGTTGCTTGAATAAAGAAAATAAAATAAAATATGTAATAAAATTGGAGATGAGCGGGCAATACTAAATTAGAACAGCTATTTTCTATATATTTGTCTTTCCAAAGACGAAGTGAAACCCCTTTTCAGTCTATAAGTGTGTGCATCAGACGCACAGAATTGGCCAGGCTTCCTCCAGTTAGAAGTGCCTGTTGTTCCCTCCTCCCCCTATCAAACCTGGTCTCTAGTATTTGCTGACGGAGGGTATGTTGTTAGGGTAATGAAAAGAAGGGTTGTCTCACCCTAAACAACTTACAAGAGTATTATTTAGGTTAGGTCTTCTGTCAGTAATCATGTGGCTTGGCTCTGCCTTCACAATATTATAACTGCAGTTTGCAGTGAGTATCCACAGAGATACTTTCTATTCGTGGTGAAGAACTGGGTTTCCAAGCTGAGTTTTTCAGTCCAGCATCAGGAATTTGTATGAACAAAAGCCTCCTCCAAAGAAAAAAAAAAAAGGCTCATTTCGGGTTTTAACAGTATAGAAAGTGATGCAAACCTGACTTTCATCTCCAAAGGCTGCCAGAATTCATTCACATCGCAGACGTACTTAACGTAGCCAAAACAGCTTAAGAAGACATCTTTCCTGAGACGGGATTCTGGAACCTTGAACTACAGTTAGTGTATGTAAATCAGCACAGAACGGTTGTTCTCTTCCTTCTAATCTTCCAGAAGCACAAAGTCTTAGAATGATCAGAAATACCCTTCCACATCCAGCGAACTCGAGGGAACACCAGAGCTGCCGGAGGTCTCTCCCCATGTCTGAGCTCCCATTCAGGAGTGCGAGGTCTTTGGGAAGCAGGCAGCACCCTGAAGAGTCTGAAGTTAAATC